AGAAATATTGGTATAAACACAAAAGGATAAACAGATGAAGACACTAATTTAAAAACAATAGGGAAAAACTACCACGGTAAACATTCGCAAATAAGGGAATGCTTACTTATGGAACACCTATAAAATACTACTATACAACCACTAAAAGAATGGACTGGATCCTGGGGCGCCTGGGTGGCTGAGTCATTACAAGTCTGCCTTCTGCCAAAGTCATGATCCCAGAGTCCTGGGATTGAGCCCCTCCTCAGACTCCCTGCTCTGCTGGAAGCCTGCTTCTCCCTCTCCCGCTCCCCTTGCTTGTGTTCCCTCTCTTGCTGTGTCTCTGTCAAATAAATCTATAAAATCTTAAAAAAAAAAAAAAAAAAAAAAAGGGACTGGATCCTTACATATTGACCTACAACATCCCGACATATTTTTAATTTACAATGGAAAGTAAGACTTGGAACAACCAAGTCTTAGCTTAACAAACTAAAACTAAAAGTGAGAGCAATGATACAGCCACTTTGAAAATCACTTTAGAAGTTACTGATGAAGTTAAACATATACCTATCCTATGACCCAATTCTACTCTTTGGTAATTTGCTCAAGAAAAATGAAAACATGTGATCACAAAAAGATTTGTGTAAGGACATCCATAGCAGCTCTATTAGTACTACTAAAATCCTGAAACCACCTAGGTGTCAACTTGTGAATGGATAAATAAATTATAGTATATCCACACAATAAAATACTACTTGGTAATAAAAAGGAACAAGCTACTGTAACACAACATAAATACATAAGAAACAGACTAACACATGATATATCTCATATCATGCAAAAGAAGGTAAATACCAAAAATTAGCTTTAAGTTCTAAAACAGGCAAAATTAATCTATGGTGCTAGAAATGAGAATGGTGATGATAGGAAAGACTAAAACTAGCCACCAGCAAATATTCTAGGTGATGATTACATGGATATATGCAACTGAAAACTCACTGGACTGTTTATTTATAATATGTGTGTTTATAAATTATACCCAAAAAGTACAGAGTGGTTATAAAGGAAAACTTAACATTTTATTTTGTACCTATTAAATATGTCCAGAAAAATATACAACAAACGTTTCCTACAGAGAGGAAGAAATGTTCCTTCACTTCGTCTACACTGTTGTTTTGTTTTTTTTAAAGTAGGCTCCACACCCACTGCAGAGCCAAACACACTGGGCTCGAATTCACAACCCTGTGAGATCAAGAACTAAGCCAACTGAGATCGAGTCAGACACTCAACCGAGTCACCCAGGCGCCCCTACACTGTTTTTCCTTTTAAATAGGAATTTAAGCAATAAACCATAAAACAAGGTGGTCTCAACTAATGCCACTAATAAAATTGTTTTGGATAAATTATATAATCCTTCAATGTCTCCATTCAAAATAAATTCAGAGGGGATAGGGGAGAAAAATTAATTCAGAGAAATTTTTTGAGGATGAAATAAGTAAGGAATATTAAAGCACTTAAAGCGTATTTTGTATTTAGGACTTATAAATTCCCTTACCTCTCTAGAAAACTAGATTATAAAGAAAAATTGCATTTACTTTAAAAATTTTGACTAAATTGGGCTCCTCAGTGGCTCAGCTGGTTGGTGTCTTCCTGGGATTGAGTCCTGCATCAGGGTCCTTGCTCAGATAGGGGTCTGGTTCTCCCTCTGCCTCTCACCCCCAACTTGCACGCTCGTGCACTCTCTCTCTCTCTCGCAAAAATAAATCTTTTTTAAAAAAGTGACTAAATAAAACAATTCCTATATACTAAATTCTGTATGTACAATTCTGTATGAACTAAAACCTACTGAACTGTACACTTTGAAAAGGTTAAATTTATGGAGTATGTGCTATCTCCCTATAAAACTGTTTTTTTAAAAAAACAAGTAATATAACTAACTACAAAGTCTTCTGGTTCATGAGTAGCCACAAATTATTAGGCTAAACTCCAGATGCAAGCACTTTTTAAAAAATACATAATATATAAAATTGTATTAGTTTAAGGTATATAATACAACGTGATATATGTATATACTGTGAAATGATTACCACAGTAAATTTAAGAAGGTGGTCAAAACTTTCAGTTGTATGATAAATAAGTTCTGGAGATGTAATGTTCAGCATAGTGACTATATAGTTAACAGTACTGTACTATATACTTGAAGGATGCTAAGAGAGTAGATCTTAGAAATTCTCATCATGGGCTGCCTGGGTGGCTCAGTTTGTTAAGAATCTGCCTTCAGCTCAGGTCATGATCCCATGGTCCTGAGACTGAGCCCCAGGTCAGGCTCTCTGCTCACCAGGGAACCTGCTTCTCACCCTCCCTGCCATTCCCCCTGCTTATGCGTCCTCTCTAATAAATAAATACAATCTTAAAAAAAATATATATCATCATAGGGCACCTAGGTGACTCAGTCGATTAAGTTTCCGACTGTTGATTTCAGCTCAGGTCATGATCTCAGGATCCTGGGATTGAGCACTGCGTGGACCTCCACGCTCAGGGGACAGTCTGAGGATATTCTCTTCCTCTGCCGCTCCCCCTGCTCACCCATTCCCTTTCTCTAAATTAATCTTTAAAAACATTTCTCATTAGAAAAGGATTTTGTGGGGCGCCTGGGTGGCTCAGTCAGTTAAAGCCTCTGCGTTCAGCTTGGGTCATAGTCCCAGGGTCCTGGGATAGAGCCCTGCATCGGGCTCTCTGCTTAGCAGGGAGCCTGCTTCCTCTTCTCTCTCTGCCTGCCTCTCCACCTACTTATGGTCTCTGTCAAAAAAATAAATAAAATCTTAAAAAAAAAAAAAAAAAGAAAGAAAAGGATTTTGTAGCTATGTGAGTTGATATATATTATGAACTCTTAATTAAAACCTGAGAAGATAAGATGGGGTGCCTGGCTGGCTCAGTTGCATGTGACTTCTGATCTCGGGGTTGTGAGTATGAGCCCCATGTTAGGTGTAGAGATTACTTAAATAAAACTTTAAAAAAAGGGGCTCCTGGGTGGCTCTTAGCTGAATGTCTACCTTTCGCTTAGGTCATGATCTCAGGCCCTGCATTGGGCTCCTTGCTCACTGGGGAGTCTGCTTCTTAGCCCCCATCCCGCCGCCCCCAATCATGTGCTCTCTCTCACTCACTCTCTCTCACATTATAAAAAAACTTTATATATATAGATAAATACATAAATAAATAAAATTAAAAACTGAGAAGAAACAGAAGCATTAGGATATAAGTACCTATAGATATAAGTACCTAAACAACAGTATATGAAATAACACTGCACAATTTTTAATTAGTATTGCACATACGTAAACAAACAAAATGGTCTCTTTATCTAGAATAATTTGCATCATGAATTATATAAACTCATAAAAATGTTACAGAAAGTATCAGTTAAAATTCCCAAAAGATAATTAGATATTTCAGTAATACAAGAACACATAGAGACTTACATTCGGTACATCTCTGTTCACAACAGTCTTCAAAATTTCTATCCATTCTGTCAGGTTCTGTTGGTTTATCAGCTCCAATGGTAGTGTATACTAAATGAAAATCAAGAATCAATACTTTAAAATCATTACAAAAGAAAATCCTACTTCCTTTAACTCTTCACAAAACCTATAAAAAGTATTTCATTCAATCCACATTTCCCATTTTTAGTATACAAGCAAATTTCTTATCTGGCTGATCTGATCAGTTATCCACAACCGAGAATTGTGGCACTACAGTGACCATCCTTCTCTTAGTCTCAAATTACTGGGAATACATCTTATTTTTACCTAAGAGTGATATTGTGATTTCTAGTGAATGTCTTTTATCAAGTGAAGAAAATTTCTATTCCAGGACTCTTAGCTTGTTTTTTTGTTTCTTTAAAGTGGGAATGGTTATTAAATGTTATCAAATGCTTTATCTGGCAATCTTAGAGATGGTTATAGGTCTTCTTCTATGAGTTCATCATAGGGGCGCCTGGGTGGCTCAGTGGGTTGAGCCTCTGCCTTTGACTCAGGTCATGATCTCAGGGTCCTGGGACTGGGCCATGCATTGGGCTCTCTGCTCGGAGGGGAGCCTGCTTCCCCTGCTCTCTCTGCCTGCCTCTCTGCCCAGTTGTGATCTCTCTGTCAAGTAAATAAATAAAATCTTCAAAAAAAAAAAAAAAGTTAATCATAGAAACTGATCTCTTAACCACTGATCCACTCTTTCTTGCATTCCTTGGATAAATCCTCTCAACAGGGATAAAATCAATACCCTATTTGGGACTTTAGAATATCTATTTTCACAAGTGAGAAAGGGCTATACTGAATATCAGGGTATGTTAGCATCAAAAAATTAGTTGGGAAGATAAATATCTTGCCCTATTCCCTAGAACAATTTACAAAAATAACTTATTCTTAATCTAAAAGTTATAATCTTACCAACTAAAAAACAAACAAAAACAGTGTATTATATACCCAAATCACTTGTAAAAATTCTGTAAGCAGCCAATGGAATGGCATTAAAGTGTCCTCTGATTAAGACTGGGAGATAATAGACTATCTTTACTAATCTAGCAAAGACACACAAAATCCAACCAAACAATATGGTGAGTCAGTTACAATCTTAGTGGAAGTCACAGGTCTATTTAAATGAGATTTTGAAGTAAGTGTATAAATGAAACCAAAGGTTCTAGTAGATAAGATGAATCCTTCTATGGCTATATGGCACAAAAAGAACTAAAATTTTAATCTTGATCTAAACCAGTTTCATTTAAGTCATTATATCCCTCTGCGAAAATACACACAATCATTTCCTCATTGGGTATCTTTTATCCCAGGAAGATTCAGAATATGTAAAAATGATGAAGCCCATCACTGTGTGCCAGCCAAGCCACAGTACTAGTATTTTTGTTAAACTTGGGAATAGGTTTTGTAATCACTGGGACAATCTATATATATTTGGCACATCAGGTTCATGCTAGATATAAATTGTAATTTCAGTAATTGATTTTCAGACTTGTGAGCTTTGCGCAGTGGCAGTATCATAGCCAATGGGGTTTATCCAAGGCGTGATTATTACTAATTGATTTTCAGACTTGTGAATTCTTAAGCTGAAAGGCATAAAAATTTTTTACTAAAATTTTGTAAATAGTGTCAGATGATTTAAGAGAACTTAAGATTGACCAGTTATAATTTAAGATCTATTGGACTTGTTTATGTATTTAGGGACGTGTACTTCGTTAGACTTTTAATGCACACATAATTTTGGCAATTTATATATGACTAGCAAATCATCCATTTGTAATCCATTTGTAATCTAGATTTTCAAGTGAAATTATTATTAAGACATGGAAATTCTTTGTTATCTTTTAATGTAGCAAAAGATAGACTTTTATATATAAAAATTACCTGAACAAGAGCATAGAAGATCTTGAAAATCTGTTTCTGGATGAGGACAGATTGATCAGACTGATCAGAAAGAAGCTGGATAAAACGGTCCTTTAGAACTGGCAGGAAATGCTGCATTGCTGCTACCAGTGGACTCCGTTCCTCTGGTTTCTTGTACCTTTGGGTAGGAATACAAACTAATTCTGTAAGAATTTGCATCACAATTTCATTTATATGAATGAGATACAAAATTAAACTGCTTGTTTGTCCACACAAATATAAGCAAATACTTCCTAAGCAACTTTAGATTCCTAGAAAAAAAAGGAAAAACCAACAATGGAACTATATCACAAGCAAAAGCAACCTAAGAAAAACCTCAAATAATAACAAAGTATCTAAAATTTTCTGAGCATTCATTATGAAGTCAATAATCCTCAAGGCTCCTGGGCGCCTGGGTGGCTCAGTGGGTTAAAGCCTCTGCCTTAGGCTCAGGTCACAATCCCAGAGTCCTGGGATCAAGGCCCGCATTGTGCTCTCTGTTCAGCAGGGAGCCTGCTTCCTCCTTCACTCTCTGCCTGCCTCTCTGCCTACTCTCTCTCTGTCAAATAAATAAAATCTTAAAAAAAAAAAAAAAAAAAAAAAAAAAAAATCCTCAAGGCTCCATTAGTATCCTCACTTCAATAGTCTGAGGAGACTGAAGCACAGAGCAGTATCTTTCTCAACATACTCCTCTAGGTATGAACTTCAGCAGTCAAGATCCAAGGTCTGCCCTCACTACAGTCTCTAATTTGAATACTTATATAACTGAGGAGCTACAATGACTTAGCTTTTAAATATTAGCAGGTAACTGATATAAAATTGATTATCTATTACCCTCCTTAAGTTATTTACATACCAAAAGCATTAAGGCAGAAGTGGCATCTAGAAAGCAGAAAATAAGCACTTTATAAACAGGAAGTTCTTTTGTAACCTATTTGGCAAGAAAACCTGACTTCAACAGGCTATTTATGGTCTTCATTTATCCCATCTGGAGTGGATATTCATGTATTTTATAGCAGATATGATAATATGCATCTGACTACTGGGTGTTGGTCCAATTTCAACAGGAGTGTTTAACATGTATTATTATGTGAACCTTCTTATCTTTCTAAAATCCAAAAACTTCTGAATTCTGAATCACATTTGCTCCAAGGATGTGGGTAAAGAACTGCTGCCCTAAGTAAGAAATTTCCATGTATAGATTTCTTAGCATTTTAACAGTATTATTTAAAAAGGTCTGTTGATTTATTTTTAATTAAACTGTACTTCAACTTAAAAAACACTGTGTCAACTATGCTTCAATGGAAAACAAAAACGAAAACAAAAACAGATTAGAACTATAGGGGGACACCTGGATGGTTCAATTGGTTAAGCATCTGCCCTTGGGTCAGGTCATGATCTCCAAGTCCTGGGAGAGGCCAGAGCCCAGCTTCTTACTCAGCAGGGAGTCTGCTTCTCACTCTCTCTCCCCATTCCCATCACTGATTCTCTAATAAATAAATAAAATCTTAAAGAAAAAGAACTATAGGAATGACACCCCACCTTCTATTATTAAGGAGTGGATAGGCAGAATAGCTTTACAAAATACAGACTAGTGGTTAAGTCATTATTCTAAAAAACTGAGTTTATCTTTTTTGATTAAACTGCTTTTTAATTGGTTTTTCCTACCAGATTCCAGTTTTATCTATTGGTAGCCTTCTTGAAGAACAAAATATATTTAAGAATTGAGTATCTGAGCACATTTTTAAAAGGTAAAGGTAAGGGTCACCTGGATGGCTCAATTGGTTAGGCACCTGACTCTTGATTTCAGCCTGGGTCATGATCTCAAGAGTTCTAAGATCAGGCCCCAAGACAGGCTCTGCACTCAGCAGGCATCCACTGAAGATTCTCTCATTCTCCCTCTGCCCTTACCCCCACTCACACACACTCTCTCTCCAAAATAAATAAATAAAATCTTTTTTAAAAAAGGTAAAGGTAAAAAGGCTAGATTATTTTCCCCTACTAGATGGAACTAGAACTGAAATAAATTGCCAAGAATAAAACACACCACAGGGGAGCCTGAATGGCTCAGTGGATTAAAGCCTCTGTCTTCAGCTCAGGTCATCATCTCAGGGTCCTGGGATGGAGCCCCACATCGGGCTCCCTGATTGGTGGTAGCCTGCTTCCCCACTGCCCCCACCCCCCCGCCTGCCTCTCTGCCTACTTGTGATCGCTGTCAAATAATAAGTAAAATGTCAAATAATAAGTAAAAATCTAAAAAATAAATAAAAAAATAAAAAAATAAAAACAAAACAAACAAAAAAAACACCACAACAAATATTCTAATGATTGAGACTATTGAACAATTAACTCACAGATTATTTAAAATACTGTTTTAACATGCTGGGAAATTACACCTAGCATACATTTTAAAACATCTGTACAATTCTTTCAGTCAGTAAAAACAATTAACAATTTATGAAAGGAAGCCATTTGCAGTCTCCAATCTGATTACACAAACTACAGTGATTAAAGACAGTACTTCCTTTTAACTACAAAGGCAGAACTATATTATGCGCTTCTCTCCATTTACCCAACCCAGATGATCACCCACATTAAGAGGGTTTGAGTATCCAGTCCATATTACACATTCTTCTTTCCTACCTCCCTCTCTACATTCAGGAGAGGACTTGAAATTAGGTGGTACTAGCTGCTAATCTACGCTAACTGATATATGAAAGTAATTATGGTAGGAAACAAATTACTAAGCCTAAGACCTGAGGGTTTCTGACAGCACGAAAATGTGACACTAATAAAAGTGGACTACCACAAGGCTACAATGTGCCAATCTGGTGAGCCATGCTCACAGGAAATCCTAAGTACTAGCCCATCATTTTACCGTTAAAAACAACAACAACAACAACAACAAAAAACAAAAAAAAATCTTCAATGGTACATTAGTATCTAAAAGGTTACATCCAAATTCTCCATCCCGGCATTCAAAACTGTCTTTAACATGGTCCCAATTTACCAACTCCAAATTTATCCCCCCCGCCGCCTCTAAACAGAAATTATCCATACCATTGGTGGTCTCCTCACTACCCACTAAAGATAATATCTCATTTCTACCTCTGTACCTTTCTTTGGTCATACTACTCCGTATGGTGTGACATGCCCTCCTCTTCAAATGCTCCTACTGTGCTCTTTCAACTGACAAGCATTTCCTGAGGATCTATGCTCCTGAAGACCACCACAACTTCCAATTTCTCCATGAATTTTCTTAGAACTGCTTCAGTCCACACAGATCCCTTGTGAACACCTTGTGCTCCACAACTGAACACTGGCTGAAAATGAACTGGAATTCCAATATTGTAGCAGCCTCCTACGTCTCCCATTTAAAAAAATCTCTGTCACACTCTCTCCTGCTAAGATTATAGGACAGGAGAGACTTAACCTCCTCAATGACAATAACAGCTTATTATTGTTATTCTCTCTCATTTTAGTCACTCACTTACCAGAACTACAACAACTGGCACTCTGATAGAAGTTGGAGCAACAGCTGGAACATTCCTTAGCAGGAAGATGGGTAGCTGGTGGGAACACAAGAAAACACCAGTACCAATGCTGTAAATGGTATACTTCTCTCCTGCTCAGAAGAAAAGCAGCAGTTCATCAGCTACTTTAGTTGGGACCCAAAAAGGGTATCGGAGGCTAACTACAGGCCCCAGAATTAGCGGGCTCACAATGGCATCTGTGCAGCTGTCAGGACTGGAAATAAGGCCACCATCATGGTGTAAGTGTTCCTCATGCCTTCCTCAAAATTTTCTGTTATCAAAACTTTCAAATGCCTACAAATTTCATTACTTCCACTACACGACTGAGATAATCCCTTCAATGTATAGCTTACCACTCTTAATGCTATACCTCAGCTTCCAAGGTTAGATCTTTTTTCTCATCCCTAAACCCAGATCTAAAATGATCCCTTGGCCTAAAATCTTTCTTACTGATACTAATTACTTATATGAACTATAATTTGCTCAAATATGCAAACACCTGATATATGAAAGTAATTATGGTAGGAAACAAATTACTGAGACAGGTGACTGAATCCCTAAAACACAATGATTAAAAATGATCATGTGAAATTCCAACATATCCTTCTTAAAGAATTACAGGTAGGTTCTTGAAACTTATCAAGACCCCAAATTAAGATAAAAAATTCACAGAAAGCCAGAAGTTAAATAAGCTCTAATGCTCAAAGTACTCTGATACCCTTCACATTTTAAAAAAGCTTATGTTTAGGCCTTTTATCAGCACAAACTGAGGAGCCCATATTGAGGAATTAGAGATAACCCAGTTTTTGAATAGGGAAACAGATAATATGAAAAAAAGGGCACAACAAGTTTCTAAGCTGAATCAACAGAAGTGACTAAAGAATTAAAATAAGAGTGCTACTTTAAAAAGAAAATACTGCATTAAAATCAACATATAATTCGCTAATTTTTATATACCAAATGTAATTTTAAATGTTCAAACAAAATACCTTAGAATTTCCAAATTTTTCCTACTTCTCAAATTTCTGTAGGAATTGAGAGACACTTACTCATAATTTTTCACAAGCTGATAAAGGCAAAGAAGAATTCCTAGCCAACAAGCACTGTTATCAGACTGAAGATAAAAGCCAATTTTGTCCACAATGGCAGTCCAGCGGCTTGGATAATCATGTTTGATGATATGGTGAATGCATGTAGTAAG